AACAATTGATTAATTTAATTTTGTGTAATATGAGTTTCATAATCTTTTTAGGTATTTTACTCTTGAAAGCTGCTTTTAATTTTGCTTAGAAGCGTTTAGGCTCTTTAAGGACTAGAATTTTTCTACTTGTAATTTATATAGAAAATGTAGGCCATCATAGAAACATAAATAAATTTAAGAAGTAAGCTCAGGCTCGCCAAGGGTCTCATGCAGACATATTAAATTCTTCTCTTTATTGTTAGACGCATCCCCACCTACGAGTTATGGCCAACCACCTAGCATATTAGAGTGCAGTTCTGTCTAAAGGATGTTGTGCAATCTATGGGGAAAAATATATTTTTTAAGACTAATTTTAAAATTGCTTCATATCATTTATGCATACAAGATCAATCGGTATGCATTATATTAGAAATCAACTAAAGAATTAATAATTTAATTGCATTTCAGGCATAATAACCATATATAGGTAAAAAGGTCAATTAGGATATTCTCTAGATATCGGCCTTAAATTTATAGTAAACTTAAAAAAAGTCTCTACCCATCTTTCATAAAAGATTGGATACATAGATTTAAAGCACCTATGTGGTTAGCTTGCTCTCCAATCTAGGATGGGATTAGTCAAGATTTGCATATCATTAGCTAGGTTCGGGCCACTATGGTTTAATGCACATATTAGACTTAGTATCTTGGGCGGACCCAAAATCATAAAACCCTAACTTCAGGAATATAATCCTAGTATTCTAGTAAAATGATAATTTGAATTAAATTTTCTCTAAAGCAAGCTATAAAGCCAAATACATAGGATATATGGGGTGTTTCTAAAATATTTTAGAAACCAAAAACACCTCCTACCTTTCATCCTTTGGCATCCAAAATATGTGTTCAAAATTTGATCCAATCATAGTAGAAATTCTAACCTCACTCTTTTGATATCACTAGAAAATTCAAAAATAAAATTTCTACCATTATTTTAATTGAGAGTGTTGGTAGGAAGCTTAAACTTTCTAGAGTGTGATTAACTATGAAGGTTTGCCTTCGTAGGATATTTAAAGACCTTAGATTAATTAAAAAGTCAATTAATTCTCTTTGAAAAAATACAAGAAAATCAACGATGATTGTTATCAACATATTTGAGTAATTAATAAGAAATGGTACTTTCCTCCCTTAGGAATATATATTATTTGTTGTTATGACATAGATATGAAATTAATAATAACATATCTAGATTATTAGCTAAATATTTGATCGAACATTATTTTGACCCTTCGGGGTTATATGTAGTTCCTTTCATGAATTTGACTATGATATTTTAGATCAAATTTACACTTTTGAATCTAAACCCAGTAGAAAATTTTATTTCTACCTCCCAGGGTGGTACGTCATTTTTAATGATATATTTGATTTCGGAATTATAATTTAAAAGTCAACATTCCAATTTTTCCAAAAAAAATTAAAATTTCAATTGCTTTGCATCCTTCCAAAGCAGAGCCTTAAAAATAGCATGGGGGAAAAGATAAGCACACTCATTTTCATTGAAATCATGGAAGAATGTAAATACAAGAGAATTATATCATTAGGAATGATCTATGTATCTCCTTTACATTCCTACTTCCTTAACATATAGAGTTACTCAAATAAACATTGACTAAACACTCTAATGATTTTATTTAGCACTTCTTAAGTCTCCCATAGAATTGACCCTAAGAGAGATATCAAGAAGCACTCTAAAAAGTACTAAAATTAGATAAGTGACTAAACTCTCTTATAAATATAATACAATGAATATTTACAGAAGAATATAAATTAGGCAACTAGCACAACGATGCTTGAAATATATGTGCAGCAACACCCATAAAATGAACAAACTTAGTGCACTGGTATTTTCGCACTACCATGGCACTTACTAATATGGATCAGTTACTTAGTGAATAGTTGCATTGCTTCATTGGCATATCATGTCCTTCGGAAGATATAACTGCTACATCACGACGTTGTTGACTTTCCAATGTTGTGATGCCTGATTAGCTGACCATTTTGATAATGCATCGCTATCACAAACAGAGAAGTTTACACTGCCATGTCAATATTGTGGCACTCTGATTGTATCCTTGATGGCGCAGCGGCATTGTTTCATCTGACACCACGGTGTTGGATGATACTTAAAATTTTGTGTCATTTTTATATTTTTTATGCACAGCACAATTAAAACAGCACATTTTTACGGAAAGTATAACACATAAAATAATATTTTATTTATAATTCTCAAAAAGTGAGTAAAACAATGTGGTACATAAAAAATAAAATTGGTAAACCAGTAAATTATAGATCAATAAATCAATAAATTTTATTGAAGGTCAAATCAATAAATATTAAATTATTCTTCCAAAATCACCAGTAGTAGTAGTAAAGAAATCATATAAATTAAGAAACTAGAAACATCTATGAAAACTATTAGAATATTGTTGACTAATAAAAATAATTAACAAAATAATGAAAATAAATATGCAAAAGATGTGTCTTGCATTGTTGCATCCACAAATTAATTAATTTCACTTCGACGAGATATATTTTTATCATTGGCTAGGTCTACATGTCCATGAATTTGCTACTACCTACAACTACAACATATCAGAAGAATGTTTGGATTCAATAAAAACAGCAATCTTTCTGTTCAAACAGACTTGGAGTGGAGATATGTATAGGGCAACCAGCCCATACATATAGAGATGGAAAACAGAATGAAATATTAAATCTATCTATAACATCATATTTTGTTAAAATAAGTCAAGTGGAATTTGGATTTTCGCATAGCTAAATTTATAATTTATAGAGCAATAGAAGAGACACATATATAGGAACATAAAACCAGACAAGTTTTAAATAAAATGAATAAGCTGTAAGTTGAAAGTTTCTAAGAGCTTGATTTGATTGAGGTTGGCAATGAATGCAGTGATATCTCAGGATGGAACAATTATTACGTCGTCCGACCGGATGCAGAGATATCTCAGAATTTCTTGGCAAGCAGTGAAAGACTTAAGTGTTGACCTGTATAAATTTATGTGGGTTGCATGCGAGGTCGACCGGAATTTTCAGTGGCTTCCTCGTTACCAAAAAGAAATATTTTTTTTAGACCTGTAATGATTACTTTTGACCAATTCTACCCTCTCATATTAAACTGTGACAGTACCTGTCTACAACTATCAATTTGTCAAACTTGAATATAAAACTTATGTTCTTTTTCAATAAGAAAATATTCCTCTTTACTAAAAATTAAATTTTCTAATATCAGAGTATTCTATTCAAATATCAGATTTTTTTAATGCAGATTTTTCTTCAAGGTAGATTTTAAATTGCAAATTTCTCTTAAAAAAGTGCAAATTTTAAAAAAATGGATTTTTAAATTCATATTTTTAGAATGCATATTTTTTTAAAATGCAGATTTAAAAAAAAAAAAAACATATTTCAAATCAGATTTTTATAAGTCAAAAGTATATGCTATTGCATTAATTCTAATTTTGATGAAATCTTTTAAACATTAAGCAAACAAGAATTAAAAGATGACCTCGCACCGTCGACTTTAAGTCCGGTCGAGATGATTACAAATTCAAGACCTCGCACCAACGACTTTAAGTCCAATCGAGATTGTTACAAATTCAACACCTAGCGTCGTTGACTTTAAGTCCGATCGATATAGTTTCAAATTCAAGACCTTGCACTGTAGACTTTAAGTCCGGTCGAGATGGTTTCACCTTCAAGACCTCGGACCAACGACTTTAAGTCCGATCTGGATGGTTTCAAATTCAAGTCCTCGAGCCGTCAACCTTAGGTCTGGCCGGGAAGAAAATATTGGCAGTTGCCGCCCTGACCTCCCCATGAGAGGAGGGGACGCTAGGAGGTTACCAAAATTTCGTCAAAAATTTTGGATTTATGTGGATTTAAATAAAACTGATCTCTAAGAAAAAATTGAAATTAAAGAGCATTTAATTTACCGGTTGAATTAATTGATGAACTATAATATTGATTAGTTAATTAAGTAACATGATAATTAAATAAAAAAGCCATTTGAAATAAATGCAAATCAATTATTTAGCTCAATTCGGAGAAGGTGATGCGATCGGAGGAAGGAATCGGATCATCATCACCTAACCCAATAGAAAAGAGAACTGGAGAACTTGAAAATTTTAGTAAAGAAAGGGACAGTTCCCAAATCACTAAGGCAACTGATTTGAAGTTTTCTAACCATCCATTAGACATACCAATGAACAATAGTTCTCTTGAAACTGATGTTGCAGCTCTCAGTTTGGGTCATGCCATCAATTTGCAATTATCCATGGTTACTATTAGTGAGCTTTAGGCTTCGTTTGGGACGGCTTTCTTGTTGCTTCTTAAAGCCGCTTTCTAGTACAAAAATTTTAATGAATGAACTAGAAAGTTGTTTTAAGAAGCAACAAGAAAGCCGTCCCAAACGAAACCTTAAGCTGAAAACATGAAAGATACCTGTAAAGTTTCCATGATAAACAAAAGTTAAATAAAGAGTGTTTCTCAAGTAATTGATAAGCCAAAACTTGGGGTGGATTTTAACACTCCCTTTTATCTGTATAAGAAACTTGAGCATATGAGAGCTACAAATGCTTCAGAATATGGTTGCTCCACTGGTCCAATAGAAAACAATGAATCAATGAGAATACAGAATGAGATAAAACAGAATGGCTTTGTACTCTTCAAAGAAATTGCTGTGATCCCCAAGCAAAGGGGTCTTCAGCCTAGAAGGAGAAAAAGTGAAGGGACCAAGAGAAAGACTGTCAAGGTGAAGGGAGAAGTGGCACAACACATCTCTCATATTGTATCAAGTCTTGGATATTTAAGTCTATTTAAAAAAAAAAGATCAAAGGAGCAAAAGGAAAAAATTAAAGAAAGCTTTTGTATCTTGTGGTGATAAACAAATTCAATTATTACCACAAATAGAGAAGGTGTGCTTTGAAATCCCACAACAATAAGCATAAAGGAAATTCAAATCTATTCATGAATGAAAGCATTGAGTAGCGTAGGAAGAATCAAAGCATTCAGAAAACAATAAGGCTAGCCAAGCAAACTACACAAGCTGCCTGAGCTTATCTTCAACAGAACTGAAGACAATAACAAAGCATATTTTACGTAATAAAATTCGGTTTGCTTTAGCATATTACACACTGCGGTATTCGCTCTTGTATGCGTAGGATTGAGCGAAGCAGACAAAAAGGACCAGCGCAATAGCACCAAGTCCTGCAAGGAGCCAGTAGAAATAATCAAGATGAGCTTGATTCAAATTGTCTGAGAACCAGCTCTCCCCTTCTCTTTTAGTGATTTCATCAATCACTGAGACAAGCAAACCACTAATGAAGTTTCCTGTGCCCAATATACTGAGATAGAAAGCAAGACCTAGACTCCTCAATGCATCAGGAACCTGATCATAGAAAAACTCCTGCATGCCAACCATTCCAAACGCACCCATGATGCCAAATAGAATGTACTGAGGAAGCAGCCACAATACGCTCATTGGCACTGTTGCATTCGGCTGATCGATCAAGCCATGTTTTCTTGCAGTTTCAATTCTCTTCTTCTCCACCAGAGCTGCGACGACCATCATAATCACCGAAACAAACAATCCAATGCCAATTCTTTTAAGCTGTGTGATGCCAGAGGAAAGCCCAGAAATATTTCTGGCTATGGGAACAAGCACACGGTCATAGACAGGAATGAAGGTGACAATGACGATGCTTATAATGCTTTGTAGAGTGGCCGATGGAATTTGGAAGCTCTGTCCGATACGCCTGTCCATTGTGCCACCTTGCTTGTTGAAAAAGGTCGAATTCTGAGAGAAGGTTATGGCATATGCTAAACAGGTTGCCCATATGGGAAACAATCGAAGCATCCGCTTAGCTTCTTCAATCCGTTCATCACAAAGCAAATTAACACTATGAACAAGCCTAATTGTAAGAATTTTAAATGTTAATCAATGCTAAATTTTGAAATACCAGTTACAATGCAGTATAGAAGCATATGAAAGCTTTCTTCCTGCTTTATAAAAATTTTTTGAATTAGAATTTTTTGTACTGCAAAGCTATTTTACAAAGCATTAAGAAAACTGTCACAAATGAAACTTTAATTTCAAAAATAATGAATTAATTGAACAAAATTATGTAAAGTCTGAATTCTAGAACAAATAATCTTCATGTTGAAGCCCTTTTCTAATGTTTTATGATCAAGTCTTTTTGGTCTACCTCTACTTTTTTTAGTCTAAGTCAAATCTAATACATCTACTTTCCTAACAGGTTATTAGGTCATCGAAAGGCCGAAGTTTTATGCGACCAAACCATCTAAGGCGGCTCTCTCTAATCTTATCTGCCACTAGAGCTACTCCGACCTTTTAATGTATATGCTTATTTTGTATTTTTTCTCTAAGAGTAAGCCACTTATCCACCTGAGCATCCTTATCTATGCAACACTTAACTTAATGTTATGCTTATCAATTAATGGCCATCATTATGCACCATAAAACATTACAGGTCTCCACTCCACCTTATAGAATTTAACCTAAAAGCTGAGGGGTACTTTTCAATCACACAACAGGCTTGATGCATTCCTTTACTTCAACCATCCAACTTGAATTCTGCTACTATATCCCCATTTATTTCACCATCACTCTGAAATATTGAAGTGAGATATCTAAAATGTGTACTCGTATTAATGACTTGATTGTCTAAAGTCACAATCCCACCACTAGATCTATTACTACTAAAATTGCACTCTATATATTCAATTTTAGATCTACTCACACAAAAATCTTTAGACTCTAAGGTTGACCTCCATAATTCAAGTTTATCTTCAACTCTCCCTAATCTTATCAACAAGAAAAATATCATCAGCAAAAAGCATACACCATGACACATCCTCTTGCAAATGTCTAGCAAGAGCATCTATGACTAAAGCAAAAAATATGGGTTTAAGACTAATCCTTGATGTAATTAATCTGAAATAGGAAAATACTGAGTCAAACCACCTTGTGTTTAAACACAAGTAATAGCTTCGGCATACATATCCTTAATGACTTGAATATAAGAATTATAAACCCCTTTTATTTCTAGAACTCTCCAAAACACTTCTTTTGAAACTTTATCATATGCTTTGTCTAAATCAATAAATATCATATGTAGACCCTCATTATTCTCCCTATACCTCTCCATAAGACCTCTCAATAAATGTATTGCTTCCATAGTAGACTTACCCGACAAGAATGCAAATTAATTTTCTTGTATTCAATTATTTAATATTTAATTACTTTTAAATAATTTTTAACTATTTATCTGATACGGGTAAAAGAATCGGACCCGAACCCAGCCTGCTAGCAACTCAAATGACCCGAACCTGACACGATAACCTGGTTTCATTTTAAAAAATAATAATTTTTTTTAAATAATAGATTTCAGATTAATTAATAAAAATAAGACAATCAAACTAAAAAATATAATTTAAACATATCATTTTGAGTCAAAACTGGTTAGTGTGTCAACCCAAACCTACTCATTTAATAAACGGTTTGAAATTCAGAACCCAAACACTACCTATTTATTAAACGGGTCAACTTGAACTCGGATTTTCTGGATCGGGTTCGAGTCCGGTCATTTTTTTACATCCCTAATTTTAGATTATCAAATGATTTGGTTGTTTTTAATTTTGTGTTTTAGTTTAAATTTTAGAAATGATCTAGTCCTATTTTTGTTTCATTTAGAGTTCATATTTGATTCATGTTCATTGCATTAATTGATTAAATTTAACATGATTAGCTTAGACTTTAGCTTAATTTGATGACACAATGAATATGTGTTTAGTTTAAATTTTCATTTCCAGTTTGCATTTCATGTAGGCTATTTTCATTTCCAGTTTGCATTTCATGTAGGTTTATTGTATTAATAAGTCCAATTCAATGTAGTTAACCTAGATTTTCATTTGATGTGATTGTAACATATTTGTAAGTTCCAATTAAATTTTTATTTGCAAATCAAGTGTTAGTTTATGCTCGTTTGCAGTTATTTTATTTTTGCACTAAGTAATATGTTAGACAACAATTACTGAAATGATTATTCACAAAATTGATTCACACTTTTATTTTGTATTTTTTTAAAAGTATTCACAAAATTTATTCTTTTCCATTTTTGTTGCAAAATTAATACAATTAATAAACTTAAAATATTAAATTGATTACTTGCGCACCAACCAACTGTAAATGCCAAAAATCTAACAAAAATAAATGGAGATAATAGGACCTTATACAGTTATCTCCAACACTTACATAATGTTTAACATAGATTGCTAGAATGAGAAAAAACAAGTCTAACAGATTCCAAACCCTGTAAACCGTAAATCACTGATTAGAACCATTCTAAAATTTTAATTATGCAAGCTGAGATCCAATATTTAAAAGCTGAAAGTTAGAAACGGAACTCTTACTTTGTGTCTTGATCAGATTGACAGCCAGAGTGCTGTTCTTGGTCGTTGGCTTCTACTTCAGATGCCGAACGATCAGCAGAGGATTGCCTGCTCATGAACATATCAGCAAGCCCTTTACCAATCCTAATAAATGGGCTCGTATCCTCTAAGGGATAGCAGCGATAAGTCCTGCTTCCCAACAAGAAAACTAGAAGAGCAGCGCCCATAACAGCACAAGGGATTCCGAATCCAAAGCTCCAGCCAATGTTGTCCTGGACGTAGCTCAATGCAATGAAGGAGGCAATCATGCCACCATTTATCCCAAAGCACAACCAATTGAAGAATGAACTTCTCGCAATGCGCTCTTGGTTATCACTCACGTCGAATTGGTCGGCGCCAAACGCCTGAAGGCAAGGCTTGTGGCCTCCTCCGCCAATGGCTACGAGATAGAGGGATAAGAAGAACAAAACAACTTGGAGAACTGCTGGAGAACAGGAAGTGGAATTCAAGGTAAGGTTTTGGTCCCCTGAGCAGGGGATTGAAAGCACGGCATTGAGAGTGAGAAACCCTAGACCCTGCACAACGATGAAAACTAGTTGAGTTGGGTAGTGAATAGAGAGGAAATAAAAGGAGTTTTTCCCGATTACCAGGACGTAGAGAAGAGAAGCGAGGACGATGGTGCGGTAGCGGCCGAGGAACGAATCGGCAACAAAAGCGCCAAGGAAGGGAAGAAGCATGGAGACGCCGGACCAGTTATTAACAGAGGCGGCGGCGGCAGCCGTGGAGAAGTTGAGGGGGCCGGTGAGGTACGTTACGAGGTTGAACGAGATGCCGTAATACGCCATTCCCTCAGCGATTTCAAACCCTGACTCCATTAAGAGAGGTATTCAAGGAGGTGATGAGGGAAGAGGCGGTGGATAGAGGGAATCTTACCTATGATAAAGAAGGCTGAGGTCCAGCCACCAGAAGATGATCGGGAGATGGGTTGACCGCGGTAATCTACTACTCCTACCATGAAGGAGGATGGCCGGAGAAGGGGGCTCTTCTCCATTCTCTCTCTCTCTCTCTCTCTCTCTCTCTCTCTACTGGTGAATCGCGAGTTCCTCTGGGATAGTTGGGAAGAACTTGACAGGTGTTGGAGTGGAAAAGGCAGTAGTGTGCCGTTTATTTTTAAAAAAATTGAATTTCACCGTTCAAATAACATTTAAATTGTTCTTCATCCTTAAAAAAAAAAAACACTTGTTGTCATTTTCAAATAATTACGAGTGGTTTAATTTATTTTAAATCTAAAAAAATATTTTCTTAGTAAAATAATATTTACAAATTTTATAAATAACTTGCTGGAGCATCTTCAATTGAAGGATAAAATCATCCATAGTTGAATGAAAAATAATAATAAAGTCTATTAAATAAATAAGTTGACATATAAGAGCAAGTACTAAAAGAACAACCTTATATTTCAACAACTAATAGAATTGATGATCAATATCTCAAGAAACCCTTAGCTCCAAATAAGTCCTTCAAGGACTTAGGTTGATTGGTTGAAAAATATATGCAGAATACAATGTAATCTAAAAATTATAATAAGATAAATCATTATTATATCTCATCATATAATTTACTTAAATATCATATTTCTTATTATGTTGAACCTGGCCTTTACCTATCAATAAGAGGCAAGAAACCCATCCTAAGACATAATGAATCATTTGCTCCAATTTTAGGTTTTGTATAAGAATAATTTAAACTAGAGTTTTTTTTTTTTATTAACTAGATAACTTTTAAGCTTGGTAGGCTATTAAGAGGACCATCGAGGCATATTTAAAATATAAAAAATGATTATTAAAATAAAGTTCTATTTTTTTAATTCTTGATTTTGTTGATTGGGTGTGTATTTATTGAGCACTTTGTAAGCCTTAAAAGCTACTTATGGAGATAAGTCTCATACTATAGTTGTGAGTCATAGAGCTTCGTTTTGGGTGATTTATATCATTTGCTTGCTTTTAATTTGTTTAGTTATGGGTTTATGTGCATAATTGAAATTTTTTCAAGTGTGAAACGTATTAGGTTCTTCTTCATAGTATGAAATTTTATCATGGGTATAATTTGGAAAAAAATTTCTCTTTTTTGTGAAAATTAAGATTTTGGATACTGTAAAATTATTATTTAAATAGAATGATTAAAAGATATTTATGTTTAATTAGTTTTTTTTTTACTTGATATCTTGTGGATTGTAAGTTTTGTTATTTTGTTATTGTGCACTACGTCATGAGTTACATTAGTAAGTAGGAAAATATTTCGTTGGGAGTAGGGAAAAAAATGAGTTACATAAGTAAACCCTAGACTAATAATTGTTCTACATCATTTTTAATTGGTTGTTCATAGAGTAACACTCCCTCGCTCTCTGCTAGGGTTCCCGCATAGGCAATTTCGGCGCTCCTCTGCCAACTGGGGCGCGCACTCCTCGGTGCTCCATGGAAGTTTTTTCTTCCATTGTTTTCTTTTTATGTTGTGTTTTTTTGTTTCATTTTGTTTTCGTTTCGGCGCTTCCGGGAAAAGGTTGAGTGATCCTAGTTTTTTGGATGGATCATTCAAATCTTAGTCTTTTCTCAATGCTCTTGCTGGTAGCTCTTCTGATGGTCATTTACCTGACCTCAAAACTTCTTCGTTTTGTGGTTTACCATTGCTGTTGATTTCGGAGGAAGAAATCAATGCCCTTGCGTTTCATTTTTAATTTTTATTAATTGGTTTTTTCCCTTCTAAGAGGCATTCAATGGAATATATTCGTAGGTTTTTCTTCTCCCTTAAGCTTAAGGGTGAGGTTTTTGTGACTTTGCTTGATCAGACGCATGCCTTGATCAAGTTGAGCAATGACCTTGTTTATTGTAGGATTTTATGTCACCATTCCTACTTAGTTCAAAATTGTTATATGAAGTTGACCAAATGGCCTCATCTGGTTGATGTTGGTGTTGATTCGTCTGTTATCCCTATCTAGGTCTCCTTCCCCAATCTCCGACCTCATTTGTTCTCACCTCATATCCTTATTGGTTTGGTTTGGTTTTTGGTCGCCCTCTGAAGGTTGATTCGACTACTTCCCTCGGTTCTATTCTGTTTGTAGCTTATGTGCTTGTTGAGCTTGACATCACGAAATCATATCCTGATAAAGTCTGGTTTGGTCTTGAGAACCTAGGCTATATTCAACATGTGTCGATGGAAGCTTTCCCTGCCTTTTGTGCTTCGTTGTTTAGGGCATTTGAGTAGTAACTGTCGGCCTCTTTAGGTTTCCCCGCCAAATATTGTGCCTGTAGTCTCTAAACCCTTGAATGTGAATGTTAGTTGTGAGGGTGATAGGGTGGAAAATTTGGTTTCTTGTGATGCCATTGATGGAGCTCTAATTTTTTGTCCCGCTGATAATACTGTTACTAATTATATTGATGAAGTAATTATTATTTTTTATGATTTGTTTAAGGATTCGAAATTGAATTTTGCTGTTGGTGAGGCTATTCGGCCTGATGATGAGTTAGGTTGTATGGTGATGCCTAAAGTGGATGATGTCTCTATGGTTTATGCTGATGCTCTGGTTATTCTGGATAACCCGTCGTTTGTTCTGGATGGAGTTATGGCTCCTATGGGCTACTCTAACTTGAATATTTCCACTTCAGTTGGGGAAGATGTGGAGCCCTCTGCGCTTGTTTGTGAGTCGTTGAACACTATTAACTGTTGTGTGAACTTGATAGTTAGTCCTACTAGTGAGAAGGATGAGGAGGTGTTGGGTGATGATCTTATTTCCTTATGTTTTGAGGAGGCTTGGGTTTCTGTGGGCCTTCTTTTGCCTGAGCTCCACAACTCTCCTTTTTGTTATTCTCGAACCTTTAGTTGATGTTCCAATTTATGTCATTTCCAATGCTAGTTTGGTTGTTCACCTAGCGAAGAATAATGTTCAGAGCCAATGCGATTGATTAGAGGAGGACATTTTTTTGCCTGATGGGAAGATATTCATGAGTTAGATTTGGTTGCAAATAGTGGATTCTCCAAAAATAATATTAAGCGTAGCAAAAGAAAACCTAGAAATAAATGATTTTTCTTTTTGGCGTCTTTCTTTTTTACTTTGCTGGCTTATCTTGATTTTGGCTCTTTGGCGGCACGTTTTTGGATTAGGACAATGATGAAGCAGGTTTTCTACAAGCCCCTTGGATGTTCATGGCTTGGTTGGCAACCTAGGTGGTTCTGTGGTCTTTTGGCTATTTTCTTTTTCCCTCCTTGGATGGTCCCAAGCTTGGCAACCAGGGGCGGTCTAAGTCCTATTAGTTGGGGAACCTCGAATTTGATTTCGTTTAGACTGGTTGGTCTGATTGTTTATTGTACGTTTTTGCTGTAATTTTCATATATGTTGCCATTAATTGGTCTTGTAGTGTATTTTTCTTACTCGTTAATGTATACATTTTTTCTTAAAAAAAAAATTGGATGTGAAATTTTCCTTATAGTTTTGTTTAATCGAATGGAAGATTGCGAATTTCTAGAAGAGATTTTTTGGTGCATGTTGTAGGGTTAATGTTATAGTTTTTTCACCACTATTTTACAGGAGTTTACACATACTATAAAATTTTTATATATTTATATATCTAATGCATAAATCGTTAAATTTATTTATGTAACACTCAAATCATTAAACCATATCAAAATTATCACTAAGGGCATCTCCAACCGAAAACTTCATTTTTCACGGCAAAGTAACGCAAAACTCCAAAATGGCGCGGTGATGCTCCAATCGAACGCCATTTTAGGTGTTTTTGAGAAGGTAACGATCGCCCTTCCCTTCGCGCGTTTTTCCGGTTGAGAGAAAAAAATGGCGTGAGTGAACAGTGCGACGCCAATATTGGCGTCGCACTGTTCATCTGCCATCAAATGCCGTAAAAAATGGCGATCGGTTGGAGCAAAACAAGAACGGCAAACAAGTGTTTGCCGTTCGGTTGGAGATGCCCTAAGATTAAGTTATTTAAAGTAAATCACACATTTATTTATATACTCTAATGTGATTTAGACTTTAAGTATATAAGTAAATACAAATGTTTAGATGCAATATATAAAAAACATAAGTTTATGGTATATACATAAAGACCCTAAGTTTTATTTTAAATAAGAGAACAACTTAAAAAAGAAAATTAGGGAATATTAATTGGTCTTCAATAGCACATGATCACATATTAGTTATTACCCTAAACACAACTATGTAAAAAAAAAAATTAATAGAAATAAAACATTAGATTAACTTAACACTACAATACTTAAATATAACTAAAAGACCTTCAAAAGAACAGTTCACCAACATATGTGGGGCATAAATGGGGTTTCATTTGAGATGACTTTTTTACTGCTTCTTAAAATAATTTTTTTGTTTAAAAATTAAAATTTTTGTATCAAAATTTTATTTTAAGAAACAGTAAGAAAGCAGTCCTAAACGAATGATTCTTATTATTTCTTAGGCTTTGTTTAGGATGACTTTTTTACTGTTTCTTAAAGTAGCTTTTTAGTACAAAAATTAAATTTTTTATACTAAAAAGTTTCTTTAAAAAGACGTAAGAAAGCTGCCCCAAATAAAATCTTAAAATTACTTTAAAAAATCGTCCCAAATATAATCTTAATAGGTTGAAGTGAAAGCCACCGGCAACTTTACATCGTTATTAATTCCATCACAGCACCATTGCAATATGGGTCCTATTTGGCATTAAATATGTTTGTCACGTTAGCTATTGAATTACATCCCCTGTACTGCAAAACGGTTTCAATCTTGAAGACATGTTCTGGGTAATATTTCCTTAAGAAATAAATTGATGAAATTGTATCATTTTTTAATTCCTTTGAAAAAGAAGAAATAGTAGTGCTCAAAGAATACAGTAGATCAGTATTATTTTCATTTTTATTAGGGTGCGTAAAAATGGGTCGATGTGTCAAATTTGAGTCCGACTCGAAATTGATCCAACCAGTTAACAGAATTGACTCCTTTAATAAATAAGTCAAAAATGCGAACCCAACTCAACTTATTTTGAATTAAAAAAAAAATTTATAATTTATTATCTATAAATTTAATTTTTTTTTAGAAAAATAAAAGAATTATACCCAAAATTAAGAAAAAAAATATTAAACATGTCAAATCTACGAGTCAATTCAAATTAAAATTATTTGATAAATGAGTCAAAATTTTTAATTTTTAGTTCGGACCTGAGCCGGATCTATGGATTGAATTATTTATTCGGACCCTAATTTTTTATTGATTTTCCTTGCAAGCGATGTGGCTGAAGCATTGTGGTATGCTCACTTGTCTGATGTGTCTCATCCAACTTTATTTGTACTAACCAAGAGAAGAACAAAGCCGCTAGTGGTGAAATCTTTCTTTCCTTGTCATTTTCTTCTACAGTATTCAGCTTTCAAAGTAAATTTTTTTCAACTAGTTTATATTTTTTCAAGCTGCAACTGCAAACAGAAGTACGAAGTAAATATCATTCTTAGTGTTAGAAATTTTTACCATTTTATTTCTTAGCTTGAGCTCAAACACAAATTGGCAACCGAGTGTCCGAGTTAAAGCTCAAGTAAGCTACTGTTAGATTCAGCTCAATTTATTTTCAGCCCTATTACATGAGTATTTTTGTACTAAAAAGTTATTTTAGAAGCAGCAAGAAAGTTGTCCCAAACGAAGCATTTGTTTCTATATTAATGAGAGTTTAAGGCTTTGTTGGGGATAACTTTATTACCGCTTTCTAAAGCATCTTTTTAATACAAAAAATCTTGTTTCAAGAAATGCTTGTACTAAAAAGCCGAAGTCTTAGGCTTCATTTGAGATGACTTTCTTATCGTTTTCTAAAACAGGTTTTTAGTACAAATATTTCTTGAACTAAAAAATTATCTTAGAAATGATTAATGTTTCGTTTGGGTCTGCTTTATTACTACTTTCTAAAACTGTTTTCTAGTAGCATAAAATTTTTTATGAAAATCTGCTTTAAAAAATAATAAGAAAGCCGTCTCAAATGAAGTTTAAGGCTTCGTTTGGGGCGGCTTTCTCATTGCTTCCTAAAGTAGCTATTTAATATAAATTTTTTAATATTTCTATTACAAAGCTACTTTAAGAGGCAATAAAAAAGTCATTCCAAATGAAACTTAAATCAAAAGAAATTGAGGAGTCTTGAGCTTGAAAATTTGGAAAGTCTTAGTTCAGTTACGTTCTCATTATTTATAGGCATGGACGAATGCAAAGATAAAAAAAAAAGAGAAGGTGATACTGTAGTCGCTTAACTATGTGACGTTACGTTTTAAAAAAATGGTAGCTATGTGTCGTTATCAACTTATTATTTGCCTTCTTTCAATTATGCAGGTTCAGAAAATGATATATTTAATTATATTTCTATGAATTAATAAAGTTTAACTTGGTTGTTACAATGCCACATGTCAGCCTTATTTGATTGGCTTTATGTTCATAATTTTTTTCTTATTTAATTTGTTTCTTTATTTATTTTATTTTATTCTTTCATGTTTTTTTTTTAATTGGGGATGTGTTAGGGCATTGAAACCATTGTATCCAAATTCATCCTTTCTAGTTCCAGTGTCCAACTTCAACTCTCATAATTCGTCATTCTTGCCCAAAAAAAAACTCATATCTAAGCTTTCACCCCCTACTTTTAGCGCCAATGTCATATTGTGTGAACCATCCAAATATGTTCTTTGATCTTGATTGGATAGATTCCATTGTTAGGTCTATTGAATCTACACTCAGATCTTGACTCAAATCTCGACACTTACTCAAGATCTAACACCCCATTCATTATATATGTTGTTTGCCATATCTCATAGTCCAAGCCCAAGTCTTGCATATCTTATCCTTCCTCCAGTGCCATCACCCTCTCTTGATCCTTAATCGTCACTCACTGATCCTCATCAAATCCTCCACGTCGTATTCTAATTCTCACTCTTATATCACCTAATTTCACTAGATTTTGCCATCCGTGCCAAATCACCCCTTCCAAATCCTTCATGGATGAGCACTTTCCATTATCCACAAATCTCTGAACTACTATGATGCATCTACCGATAGTTATTTTGGTCAACCTTAATGTTTAAATGAGTGTATAATGTTAGGGATGCTAATTATAGTGTGCAGTTTATTACTGAGTTTGTGAGTTATTATGCATCATGATAGTTCATATGTAATTATTGCTTATTTGTCAGTTACCAGGCATTTAATGAGTCATTAAGAGTATTGTAATTCTATAAAAGCTCCTTTAAGAAAGTATTAGGGAAAGAATTAAATGAAATAAGATAATCCTTCCTCCATATGATCTTATATATTCTTCTTCCAACCTAATTTTAGAAATTTTGACTTTTAACTCTTAACTAATCTGGATGGGGGCATTTTTTGTTAGGTTAGCAAAAGCTAAAATATGAAAATGTTAACAAATATTCCTCTCCCAGTTGTCATAAGAAGTTGAATGTGGGTGGAAAATCTAACTTTATATGCTTCATATTGCTCAGAATTGAAGAAATATTCCCATTGGTTTGTCTCATAGGGAAATATTCCCAAAAGTTTCATTCGAACAAAAATATCACATGCTATACTCATATTCCACTGTATAAGAGTGAAGTTTCCCAGCCCTTTCTACTTTAACATTCTTCATTTACTATCTTTTTTCATTTTATTTTGATCCTAATTTCTTCATTCTAGAGGGACCACCTACTGAAGTTTGAGATTTCTTAGTTTATTGACAATTGAAGCATAGATGAGTACTATTTTACAGAGTTTATATGGTATAACACATATAAGGTCATTTTGACAGAGATCTCATACAGAGCTATTTAAAATATCAAAGAGTATGTTTTGATGCTTGTTAAACCATCCACACAAATTATGCTTGGACCTTATTCAAATTGTCATCGAATATAGTTTAAGATATCTTAGACTATATTGTTATATATTTATTTTAATTTTATTTGAATGTCATCTGATGAATAAGGTATGATTATGTCTTAACTAGATAGGCATTTTAATTCGGATTAATAAGGCATAATCTTGTCTTCAAATATAGTTCTATTATGTATTAAACATAACATGGTTTGATCAAGTTCAAATGTGCTTGAATGTAATTTAATTAATTATTATCTATGTTTGAAGAATAATGACATTATATACTTATAGGTAAATCAAGCATCAACATTCTTATAATATATGAAAGAGAATAAGAAGAAGACATGCAAACTAGTAGGATTTTTATTTGAAAATGGAGCGAAGAATTGAAGATATTAAGAAATAATATTTTTAATGATCCCTTTGATCTTATATACAAAGTGAAAGATGTCAATAAGGCAAAGAAAATGCTCTCAACTATATCAGTCGGAGGTTGATCGGAGAATAAATTCGTTATTCTATAATTTAGAAGCCTTGTTTAGTGTTGATCTTTGTAGTCCAGAAACTCTGCCATTATATGCTTTCTCACAAGATTATGTCGATATCAAAGATCGATTCATTGAAGCTCTTGATAGCAAGGCCAGCGTTTACAGGTCGCCTAGCAAGGTGGGAAGTAATACTACTGTAGTTTGATATCACATATATGCAATAGAAGGCGGTAAAGGGACAAGCTTTGACATATTTCCTCTTCGCACATCCAATCCCAGCTGACTCTCCACTCAAAGATGATTTTCCCGATGATAGGTCGTGGAGAACAAAAAATAATTTTGGAAGATGTATTTAGATGGGGCATCATCGATAAAACCTGCCTAATCTCCAAATCTTGGTAGGTTTGAAGCCAGTATTGGTCTTATTTTCATAGAGCCTGAGGGATTTATAATAAGGTTTTCATTCAGTTCAAATGAACATCAGACCAATAATGAAACTGAATACGAAGCTCTAATAGTGGGAATAGAAATTACGATCAGTGTCAGAATCCAAAATCTTCAAATCTTCGGTGATCACAGGTTGTGATAAATCAAGCTCTAGGCATTTACAAAATTTATAAACTAGAATTAGCTCACTACCACTAATGAACTCTCGAGCTTCTAAAATGAGTTCCAAATGTTATAATAGCTTAAGTTCCCCGAGGATAGAACACCAAAGTAGATTATCTGGACAAATTATCCAAGGAGCTGGCAAATAAACTAGTAGATGCTCGAAGTCATGGTTGCATTGCTTAGATATTGAAATAGAAAAAGATTGGAGGCGACCTTTCATCAATTATTTTAAAAAAAGTGAACTCCAAATAGATAAATCTGTAGCTATGAAAATTTAAAAGAGAGCATTGCAATACACATTTGTTAATGGCACGTTGTATCAACGAGCTTTTGATCAAATGTGGTAATAATACTTAGGGACTAAGGAAGTAATAGAGTGGTAGCAAAAATTCATGAAGGACTTTATGTCACACATCAGTCGAGTCCCAAGATGGCTGCTAAAATCAAGAGAACGTGTTATTATTGGTCAATAATAGTAAGGGATTATATTGACCATGTTAAACGGTGCCACGAGTATTAGATCCAGGGTGATGTTATACATCAATACTCAAATCCACTGCACCCAATAATAACATCATGGACATTCGATTATTATAGCTTAGATATAATTGGGTTGATATATCCACCAAAATTAGCTAGACATTAATTTATAGTGATGACAAATGATTGCATTTCTAAGTGGCGGAAGCAACTCCATTCAAAGAAGTCACGTCCGAGCACATGATAAATTTCTTCACCCATAATATTATCTATAGGTTTGATATGCCACACCACATAATCTAGAACAATGGTATGGCTTTCAAAAGCATAAAAATGTATAAGTTTATTGATCGGCATAAAATTGATTGGCGATATTCACCAATATACAATCCAAAGCAAATGACTTTGCAGAAGCCTTCAACAAGACGTTGGTGAACTGTTGAAGAAGATTATCACCATGAATAAAATAGAATTGCATACAAAGATGATAGAGGCACTATGGGTGTATCGTACAACTAACAAAATGCCAACTAAAGCCACTCCTTATTCATTAGTGTTCGGAGTTGAAGCAGTATTGCTACTAGAGATCAAAATATTATCACTTTGGGCAGCTATCCAATATATCAAAGCATGCTTATATTTATATTTTAAAATTCTCTTATGTAGCAATAATACATTTTAAAATCCCCCATAAGACTAGGGACATTTTAAATATTTATTAGGGTTGACATCGCACCGTGTGCTAAAATCTTTAAATAAATATGTAAATCTCGAAATACAAAGCTTATCCAAATCTTCCTGTAAGATATGGAGCATTTTAAATATTTATTTGAATTGACATCATACTATGTGTTAAGATCTTCAAATAAATATTTAAAATTTTAAAATTTTAAAATTCCAAGTTTATTCTATTTTAAATTGTACCTACAACACAAGGGGCATTTTAAATATTTATTTGGGTCAGCATCATATTGCATGCCAAGATCCCCGAATAAATATTTAAAATTATTAATACGAATATTATTTCATGAAGAAGGATACAACGACATCTTTTTCAAAGTATATGAAGGTAAAATCTTTCAAAAGTTTGGGCCACCGCCTTCTCCAATGTACTGAGATTTAAAAATCAAGAAAGAGACTTTATAACTAAGCACTCCAATAAATCGAGCCGAAATAGTTTGAAGTCTTTTAATAGCTTGAAGCTTAATGTTTAAATGGGTGTAAGAGGACAGATCTAACAAGCCCAAATATGACATAATTACTGATAGTGCCATAAGAAAGGTAGTAGAAATAGAACCCCCATTTCGTTAACCCGTTAGAAAGGATTGTAATAAACATGAAGGTTATTTTGACTCGATAAGTTCAAGTGATCATAGTCTACCAAATTATTCTAATTAATTGGAGAATCAAAGTTCTAGTGGAAAGAATAAGTTGTGAATAATTACTAAATGATCAGAGACTCTAAATCTTTAACCATAAAGGATGACTTCATATCTACCAACTTCAGTTGATTCAGTATGAAGAAGCACATTTACCATAACTTAAGTCTGAAACTTAAATGGGTGTAAAAGGTTGGGTCCAACACGCCCAAATATGACTGGATTGCTACAACTCTATCTACTCAACATATCATAAGAAATGTTATAGTAGAGGAACCCCCATTTTAGCAACAAGAGGATGAAGAGCTATTAAATCTTAGCTCACCTAATTTGATGAACTCAAGTGACTCAGATTGACGTCTTCTCAACAGATTATGGATTAAGATACTACTTATATATAGTACAACTGACTAAATTCAAAACTTGCAAATCCTTCAATAAATCCATAAAGCATCAAGCGAGGACTAAAAAAAAATTTCTTCAATAAGTTCGCAAAAGCACTAAGCAAAGGACTGATGAAATTATCCCAAAGTTTATTTAAAGCCTATGCCTAAACCATAAGGATTATATCATCAATAAGTCTGTTACGCACAAAGCTCTAGACCGATGACTTCTTGCCATTGACTTAATATAAACCAAAAACGATTTAGGTCACCTGCATCTACTCCTTCAACAAGCTCATCAAAGCAAGAAGCATGGGGAAGAAAGTTCATAAATCTCCTGAAAAGTCGATAATGACAAATAAGGCAATTCTTCACCAATGTCCACCGCACAAAGCACAGGGTAGAGGGGACTAAAATATTAATAATTAAGCCAAAGCTATAAAAAGAGTATTCTAAATGACACCTCAAATATCCCTAAAAACCCAATGCTTTTTAAATATTTATTCGGGTCGACATCACGTCGCATTTTGAAATTCATAAATAAATATTTAAAATTTTACCAAGATACAACTAGAGGAGGGAAGAATGAAAGATCCTCCATAAAATGAATGTTTGTTTCAACATAAAGTAAACTCTAGACAAGATATAATCTATACTGGTGGCAGCAAAATCCCACCAGCTAATGAATCTGTAAAGTTCTAGAAAAATTTGAGCAATATCAATAATCATACAACATAAATATCACATTCATACATGATTAAGATAGAAAGATGTTAAGCAGTTGCAAAAAAATGCTATGAACTAAGGTGACAGTGCTAGCAAAAGAAGAGCACAAGGTGACAATGCTATCTACCATCATAGACCTACAAAATCTGTGAAGGTGAAGAGATAGACTCTTGGAGTTCTACAAAAAAAAAATTGTGTGACATCTAGAGAAAATATCAAGAGATCTACAAGGTCAATCAGCATGCAACAAACGTGTTTCATTCTAGACATATACCACATTTGTTGGAGGGCATTTGTTGACCTCTATAATAAGATAACACAAGAAAAAAATATAAAGAAAGGAGGATCAAATCATTAGTTGTACCAAATATCTGCTCAAATCGACAGCACATCCCTCTGTAGTGGAACCGAACTATGACATCCATCTCGATCCCATGTTCACTCTGCTCCCAATCGTCGTTAAAATAGGAATGAAGAGTGCTTTGTTTGTTTTCTTTGACACCTCGTTCGTCTCCTTCCATAGTTTAGACTCCAAATCTCTCGCAAGTTGAACCTTCTTCAACCCGACCTTCTTCCCCATTTGCAAGCTCCCATCATAACTTCCTACTTCTAATTCTTCATCCATAACCTACAACCGACCTCACCTTCCTCCATGCAGAAGCAGAAACCACCTCTTGACACAACTAATGCCAATATAACCTATCCGATTTTTACATGTAGTCAGCTGAAATCACCCAGTCAGAGATCACACAAACTAAAGCCGACTCCAAATTGTGGTCGACATCCATACCTAGCCCATGTAGCTGAACCCAAGTCACAAAACTCATCCCGCCTCTTCCCCTCTACCCAACGCTAAACCCCATCCTAAATCCAATCAAAGCCCTACCTAGCTGAAGCCCGAGACTCGCCAACTCCACCTGCTCTGATGACTCTTCCTCCTATCAGATCAGAAGAAACAACTGGGAGCTTGCTCCCTGTAAAGGTAACTATCTCTCGTTTGTGTGCTTCTTCGACCTAGTCACTTGAAATAGAGAGTTTAATTTAAGAGAGTTAAACTCTCTATTAATAGGATTTATCATATATCCTATTCAAAACCAACTTAAATCCTGCTCATATCATGTATAATCGTGTGTCCAAATAGCCTAATTGTAATTAATTACTAATTAATTATAATTAGTTTTAACGAATTTTAATTAATTAGTAATAATTAAAAAATTAATTATTATTAATTATAATTAAGTATGATTAATTTTAATTAATCATTAAATATTAATTATTATTAATTCTAATTAATTATTATTAGTTTTAATTAATTATTAAAATTAATTATAATTAATAAAAAAAGAAAGAAGAGAAAAATTCTTCTCTTACCTCAATATACATGCCAACACCATCGATAACCCCATAAAGGTATAAATTTTCTAAACTCAGATTCCCGCTCTCGGAGTTCACAGTACACTGAAAAACTATATATACACACTTTTGTTAGCATGGTGGGAAGGGAACTAATAATCAAAATCAATATTTTCAGCATTCATTGCTCACCAGAAAATTGTCTGTACACGCTTTTCTTAGTGCGGTGGGATGAGAATACGATG